TTTAATCTGTATCGCATAAAAACTTCATAAAAATTATCAATTTAAACAAAAATTTACCGTCAACTACAGACGTTGCATCCATCGACTCCACCATGGTTCTCATTGACACGCCCCCAACTCGGAAACTCGGGGTTTAAAGAAAATTTCGAGTTTCCCACTCGTAATAACGACTTTGTGGTGGCGATCATGTGCGTTCAACTCGTAAATACGATCTATCCGACATGATTTGAACACACCATTCCACAAGTTCCATTCCCAAGATTCCTTTTCCTCTCGCGTTCCCCTGCTGACCTGCGGGTTGCCGTAGCTGCAGCAGAAGTGTGTTCCATAGAACATCTCATTTGATTTGAGACAACATGGCTGCTGCGGCAGGCCATTATTACGGCGACGGAGGCAGAGCAACAAAAAGACAGAAAACAGACAGCGACGGAATGGCCACGGTACTTTTATTTTATTCAGTTTATTGCATTCTCCATGCTGTGGCTCTAGACTTTCATTTTCCCTCATGAAACGCGGTTTTTCTTCATTCAATACGTGATGCTATAAAGCTAGCTTGTAGCCGACGCTAGTTCGTCTGTTTAACGTTAGTTTGTGAGAAATAATTATGCTATTACGGAGAATATGATTATTACTACTTATAAGATGAGATATATAATTCACAGCATCTAATAACTTACATCTAACTGGTACCTGTGGCTCGGCTAGCAGTGCTTTACTCAGTGCTCATTCATTGTTCTGGTCAGTCAGCTCAGACTATAATAAACTGTTCATACTGTATGTTACAGACTTTTACTCATTTAATTAAACGGAAAATGGAGTAAAGTGCTCGAGATAACTAGAAAGAACGAGAATTGATCAGTTTTCGTGCGAAACTGTTATCTTGGCTTAGACGAGTCTCATCTTCGTATCTTTACTCTGAATCTGATGTTGATTAGGTCCATTTTGCTAATCTGAACCTTTACTCAAGTATACAGAATTTTGCATCGTTTTGGCCAATGTAGTGAAACAAATATATTTATTTATATATATATATTTGCTTTAAGCATTCACAAGGATTCTGGTTTTACATTATTGTTTGATTTAACCTTTCACTCCTCCCTTTGTATGTTCAGGAGGGTTATGACGACCCGCACAAGACCCTGCCCTCGCTTGTGGTGCATATAAGGGGGCTTATTGACGGCATTACCGAGGCTGACCTGGTGGAGGCGCTACAGGAGTTTGGCACCGTAAGGTAACACGCATCGTGGAAAGGAATCGTCTTTGTGCCAAATGGCATCCTCAATCCTTGTGGTGCTCATTTGAGTCCATTCTTTGGTGACAGTGAGTTATACGAATAAGTTAAAAAGATGTGTTTGGGGTTAATTTAGAACAGTGGTAACAAAAGTTCCTTTAAACTAAGGGCACTCTACTTTTTTGACTCAAAGTCTTCCTGTTGCCCAACACAATATTCAGTATTACCTCCAGTATTTCTGGACAACACTGCTCGTTTTCAAATATATATTTTTTTATTAACCAAGTGTTGGTAATTTAATTCAACATGATTCTTATTGTGATTCTATACGATTCAAGAAGTTGATTCTGATTAGAATTTGTGCTTTTTTAAAATCATTTTAATTGTTTTAATTTTTAAAAATGTAATGAAATAACTTTAAGTCATCCTTTGGCCTCCTTGGAAGTTGGAAGCTAAGCCCCCCAGTTGAGAACCACTGTTTGAAACACAAACTAATTTAATAGTTGATTGTAAATATATTAAATAAAAGTGCAACAGAAGTAATGTCTTCTCTGCTATTAAAGTGTACGTTTGTAAATTTTCATAAGAAGTTATCAATTTGCTGTTTATTGGTTTGCATTTTGCACTATTTCTGGAGAATTATTTGAGAAATTCAAAGTTGTTATTTTGAGTCTGTGTATATGCATCTGTTTTTCAGTTATGTTGTGTTAATGCCAAAGAAGCGTCAGGCACTGGTGGAGTTTGAGGACATGAACGGCTCCTGTAACGCAGTGACGTATGCTAACAATAGTCAAATCTACATCGCTGGCCGGCCATCTTACATCAATTACTCTACCAGTCAGAAAATCTCTCGGCCCAGCAACTCTGATGATACACGGAGCGTTAACAGTGTACTGCTCCTTACCATCATGAACCCCATCTATCCCATTACCACGGTAAGTTGTTTTGATAACACCCAGCGTGGTGTAGCTGAGTAGACTCTGTTGCATACTAGCTGTCTACTATTGCATTAAAGCTTATTCTCATCCCTCTTTCTGTTTATACAATATAATTTCTTGTCTGTAGGATGTTCTCTACACCATTTGTAATAACTGCGGACCTGTGCAAAGGATTGTGATCTTCAGGAAAAATGGAGTTCAAGCCATGGTCGAATATCCTTGAACAAAATCTTCTCTAATGTAGTTTAATGATTTCTGCACAGTGCATGGGGCTTATCACAAGAACAAAGCTTAAGCCCTGTCAATGTGTGGTTTACACTGCATGTTTACAATCGAAATATTGTTCTCCTTGACTTTTGGTCACATTTGACTCGGTCCAGAGTGCACAGAGAGCCAAAGCATCTCTCAACGGAGCTGACATCTACTCGGGCTGCTGCACCCTTAAAATTGAGTATGCCAAGGTTAGTACCCCAAAATATTACATGTATGATACCTCTTGTTCTGTACAGTGCCCTCTGCAGGCCTGGGGTCAGTTGCATAAACGGTTGTAATGTTAAGACTGTCTTAAGAACTGATTAACTATCAGTTAGCCAAGTCATAATCAGTCTTCAAATTAGATCTTTAAAAAATATGACCACACTTGCAGATAAAAAAAAAAGACTAACTTTTAAGACTAGTCTAAGTAGTTTATGCAATCAATTTCTTCATTAAAAAGTACACCACTGGTGCTCAGCTGGGAGGCTTCTGAGGGAGCCTCAACATGGCTTAAAATGATTTTAATTTTTGTTTTAAATGAGTTCTAGACCTGTAAAATTCACGTAAGTCAATATAATCTTAAAACAGTCTTTAAAATACTAATTCAAGTCAAATGACACAAATGTTGATGACATTGGTACATTTGAAATGGTTGTGACTACATATTACCCTGATTACTAATGAAAACTCACTTTTTATTGTATAGCCAACCCGTCTCAACGTCTTCAAAAACGATCAGGATACTTGGGACTACACCAACCCCAATCCGAGTGGCCAAGGTACAGTACAGCTCATGCACTCTGTCTGTGCTTCTTATGGTTTATGGGGATGGGTGTGTGGACAAGCCACCTAAAGTGACATCCTGGAAAGTTTTTAAAGTAGATCTTTTCCCAAGGATGTCACTTCAGTGATTCTGCTTTATTCTTGCGTTCCTTCTGTTTGGATTATAATACAAATATTTACACAGTTGTAGTTGCATATAGACGTTCTTACATGGACACGCAATCTTGCACATACGCAAAAAGAACACGCGCCTTTAAAAAAAAAAAAATTTAAACCAAAGACATGCACTTGAGTGGGCCTGATTATTATATTGATGGCAGAAGCGCACATCCTCCTTAACTCATATTGACATACACTCGTCTGTTGCGCATGTCACCTGTTTCATGTTAAAGCACAAGTGTTTCTCATATACACACAAATCCTTAGGAGCAGGCACTCTTTCACCTGTACTCACTAAGCATGACACTGCATCTAGTTTGTTACATGATGGAGATTAGATTTTTTGCATTGCAATAGGGCAGGGTGTGGAAAATTGGAGCTAAACTGCAAAGTTTAGCTCCAATCCCAGTTTAACACTGTACTAGCTGACCTTTAGGATCACTAGAAATTTCCTGGTGGGTATGTCGGGGCTTATTGAAGTTAGACCTCTGCAGGATGTATGCCCTCCATGAGCAGGATTGGACACCCCAGCAATAGGGCAAATACTTGCCTGAACATGGTTGTAGAGCCAGGCTTGATGTAAGCGACAGGTAGATTTATGAACGCAAAGATTCACAATGGTCCAGGCAAAATGTAATGGATCACTCAGGAACCAATGTTACCCAGATTCACTGTTCTAATGTAGTTTTTGCATTCAGAATGCTTTTTTTTTTTTTTCCTTTAGTCAGAGTTTATGTAAATGTTCTGCTTTGTAGGATCAAATTCACATTTGAACATGCAAGTCTTTAAACATTGTGATTTTTAGAACTCCCAAATGTGGTTCATATTCAGTGTTCTCCTTATGCAAATTGTCTATGTATCAGGTCTCTCAGGGTAAAACTGCTGAGCTTTTTTACTCCTGAGTTGAGATACATTAAGCTCCTGTGCTTGAACTAGCCACTGAACACATTTTACATCCAACAAAACATTTCCATCTACTTAAGTTTCTCTGCAAGACACACTCGCAGCAATTCAACAGGCCACATGGAACCGTGAAACGGAACTCACAACAACTTTAAATGCTTCAAAGATGGCAATTTCACTCGTATCGAAGTCACACGGATTAAAAAAAAAAACCGCTCAAGATATCCTTCTACTCTGCTAACATCTCCATTCTCTACAAAGGTGGCGGACATCTTAATGACACATTTAGGGGAATGGGTCTAATCTCTTTGGATAATACATTACAGCCAATCACAGAAGACCTTCGCACATCAACATCGACTGATCGAGCAGCAAACACATGAAGCAAAGTGGTACAGATACACAGAACAACAGAGAAGAATTACACAGATATTTGCTTCTCATTCCCTGCCCAATGTCGTCATGTTTCTTGGGTGTTTGGGCTACTTTTGCTCTCGCTTCTTTCCTCTTTCCTGAGAACATCATGCGAACATGCAAAGCTGACATAACCGTGACAACACACCAGATCAGGATTGCTACAACACAAGCGCCATGGTCAGAGACGGCCAAACTGACATTGCCATGACAGCACACCAACAAACAGATTGTCTGAGATTTATGCAGAGATCTGCGAGTCGACATAAGTCAAGATTGCTCCAACACAGCGGCAGTGGTCTCGTTGCGCGCAGCACGACAAGTTGAGATCGTCACTACTCACCCAGCAAAGAGCAGACATTTGTCTATACGTAACTAACAGAGATGACATCGACTTCGACACACCGTGACACATCCGAAACCGCATGTTCACAGGCCACATGCTCTGACATCAACGTGAGATTGTCGCAAACACATCTTGCTAAAAATAGCGAAACGCACCAGACAAGACACTACGGGCGACACTAGCAACAATACACCACTGTAACACATGGGAAGGACCGCAGCTGCCCACCGATCACACAGTCAGATCCTCCGCTCTCCCTCCCTAAGCCCCGTCTCTTTGTGGACTGAAGTGCTTTCTATCTCTCATTTCTCCTCTTCCTCTCTGTGTTGAATCTGTTTTATTCATTGGGCACGGCTGACCGTGTTCTGATCCCTGTGTTACGCCCCCTGTGTGACGCAGGTGTGGATTAGTCTGACTGCTGGCGTGAAACGGACAGCACTCTTCTAAACTCAACACCGTCTGCTGTCTGCTATCCACCTTTACTACTACTACGGTAAGCACCGATGTGCCTGGAATGCACCAAAAACGCATGCAGCGGACTAGGAGAAATGTCCTAAGGAACTGAATGAAAACTAAATCATCAGGAGTAGGGAGACTGGTAAAGAACATCATACTTCCATGGTGCCTGCTGCATTTGTTTTTTGTTTTTGTTTTAATGGGTGTATAGCACACTGCTCATTCAAACTGTTTGTCCTGGCTGGATTAGCTGGAGCTTTGTTGGTAAGATGTGTTACACACTTTTGGCATGAAGTGAAGACCCTTGAATAACACTCTCGAGTGGATATATGCAGCTCTCTTTTAATTCCTTTCAGACTCTTTCAGTCTGGATGATGTGGCATAAGTGACTTTTTTTTTAATGTTGTCTTTCATTTTTAGCAGGTAACATTTCCTGTGGGAGTGAAAACGTAGAATTCTTCTAGTTTAATTGATCAGTCACTTTTTTTTTATTTTTTTTTTTTAAGTTGACATTAAATGAAAATTCACTTTCTATTTTCTGAATGCATGGTATTACTCTTGAGAACACTTCATGTGTGCATATGTTGATTGCTTTTTTGTTTTGTTTTTGATCATGTAAGTTTTAATCAAAATGTCATAAATCCTGTCTTCCGTTAAAATGACAGGCTTCTCTTTGGTGACGTGTATGGTGATGTTTTCCAATCATTCTGTCCACTAAATCCAGCCCTTTTCTTATGATTGACTGCAAGCTCTTATTTAGATCTGCCTTCATCCAATCAAAAACTGATAGATTGAAACAATTCCTGCTCTCCTTTTTTTCCTTTTAGTTAATCTGTTTTACTCGGATGTCACAATACAGAAGAAACAATTTATTTTTATTTTATCACAACTTTTAAATTTCAGTCAAAAGACCTACCACCTTATTAATCAGCAGGTTTGTTAATTAGTCTAGCTTGAGTCAACATGAAAACAACTCCCATTTACTCTTCTAATTCTCTTTTCTAGGCTTTTATCGAGCAAGATTTATTGGTGCACATTATTCCACATGCACATTTTGTTTCCATGTAAAATATATAACGAAAACATTAGAATAGGTCAGATAAAGAAAGTAAAATGGGTTGCAACAGTGTTTCATGTTGACTTAAATATAAGGACCCTTAAAACACTACCTAAAGTTTAGTATTTTATAACATTTAAGCAAAACATTCAACTCTTCTGTATTCACTTAAATTCCTGTCTAAAATATGTAGGTAAATGTGTTTATCACTATGTATTGTTGTATTAGCCTTTTCTGTGAAACCTTGTATTATGACATTGATGTGGTTTGGGTGTCATTTACTGGAGAAGATCATTTGTCTTGGTCTGGCAGGCAGGCAAACTGTTGTAACCATAACTAGAACTCGGCTACTTGCCTGAAGTGCTTATTTTTTAAAACCGCTTATTTCTGGAAGAGTCCTCTAATTTATTAATACATGTTGTGCTTTTGAACACCTCTTGGAACCTGTGGTTTTTATAGTCTGTACCAAGAGTAATGCACAAATGTATATTTAATTTTGAAGGTATGGTTATTTAATTATATTTGTGTATATAATTTTAATACTTAATTTAAACTGATTTGTGTATACCTGTCTGTGCAGATACCGATGCAGATGGCAATTGGAACAATTCACAAGGTGTGTGTGTGGTTGTGAGGTCTGAGAGAATTAAATATTTTCTTCAATAATGTAAATGTAGCTGAATTTCTCTTTGATCGACCTGATATGCCATTCAAAATCTCCATTATGGCTTAGTATTGCAGTCACTTAGTAGTATTGGCACCTAATGCTCACTGCATGTCACTCCCAGAACTGCACAGCCTTTCCTTTTAATTTGTGTTTGCACTCTTGATGTTCATAGCAGTTGAGATGTTGTATTGTTGTTCTGTCTCTCTTTCTCAGACCCCAATGCTAACCCAAACAAGCGGCAAAGGCAGCCAGCACTGCTGGGGGATCATCCACCTGAATATGGTCAGTCTAATACACATTATCAGAGATGCTTTGACTTGAGGCACTGAAGGTGCTTTATAGGTGCTTATGGTGTATATTTCATTTTTCTTCTAGGTGGTCCTCAGGGTGGCTATAGCCACTATGATGACACCTATGGACCACCTCCCCCACCCCCTCACTACGAGGGCAGGCGCATGGGGCCCCCAATGGGACGTGGCCGTGGCGGACCCCGGTATGGTGGGGCACAATACGGACACGGACCTGCTCCGCCGGACTACAGCGCTCATGCTGACTCTCCTGTGGTAATGGTGTATGGTCTTGAGCCCACCAAGATCAATGCAGACCGAGTTTTCAACATATTCTGTCTCTACGGCAATGTGGAAAGGGTGAGTGGGGTTTTTGAGCTCAAGGGTGATGGGGTTGAGCTCATGATCTTCAGTTGAAAAACCAGTGGTGATCGTTTCATATACCCATATAAATTTTTTCAAATGTCTTTGAAAGGCATCTCTTGTGCTCACCAAAACTGCATTTGTTTGAACAAAAATACAGAAAAATACAGTGATGTTAAATATTACTACAATTTAAAATAAGTATTTTGAATTTCAATGTTTTTATGATGACAAAGCTGAATTTTCAGCATCATTACTCCAGTCTTCAAAGTGTCACATGATCCTTCAGAAATCAGTCTTAATATGCTGATTTGCTGCTCAAGAAACATTTCTTATCTTGTCGTGCTTATTAATATTTTTGTGGAAACCAGGATACTCATTTTTTGGGGGGATTCTTGGAATAGAAAGTTCAAAAGAACATGATTTATTTGAAAGAGCAAAAACATTGAATGTTATGAAAGATTTTTTTGACCAAATGTGTCCTTGCTGAATAATTCTAATTGTGTTGAATATGTTGTGTGTGTGCTCAGGTGAAGTTTATGAAGAGTAAACCAGGCGCTGCAATGGTGGAGATGGGAGACTGCTATGCTGTTGACAGAGCCATTTCACACCTGAACAACAACATGCTGTTTGGACAAAAACTCAATGTCTGGTGTGTACAATGGAATTTCTTTTTTTTCTTTTTCTTTTTGCTTGCACTTCCATTATATATTAATGTTAATGTGTTTTTGTTTTGCCTTTTGCTCTTAAATGTTTTTATTATTTTAAAATATATCTTTTTACATTTAATAATTATTAAACATGCCAGACCACAAAGGTGGTTCTCAGTTCAAGACAAGTTAAACTAAATTTGCATAATTTATCTGTCTGTGTGTACTACATTGTTTATTTTTTGTCTTTTGGTCTGCAGTGTATCCAAACAACAGGCCATAATGCCGGGTCAGTCATATCAGCTGGAAGATGGCAGCTGTAGTTTTAAGGATTTCCATGGCAACAGAAACAACCGTTTCACCTCCGCTGAGCAGGCAGCCAAGAACCGCATCCAGCAGCCCAGCAACGTACTGCACTTCTTCAATGGTCAACCAGACTGCACTGTTGAAGCGTTCAATCAGGTCAGAGGTGTTATCTGTCACTGTTATATATATATATTTATGGAATGTTGCAGTGTTTGAATTATCTGCACGTATGTTTTTTTTTTTAAATGTGAGTTTGTAATCTTAATCAAAAACATAAATATTCCTTCCCTCTTGCTACAATTCTCTGAAGTTTTTTTCCATTTTCTCCAATAGCCATTTCACTTAAATATGTTACAATAGGAAAACATTTTCAATTTGGACAAAAATGTCTTGTGCTTGAATGATATGCATATGTGGAATTAGATTTTAATAATCTCTTCTGGGTTTTTATCTACAGATTTGTGATGAGTTGGGAATCAAGACTCCAGTCAGCGTCAAACTGTTCACTGGCAAGAGTGAGTTACTTATGAGTTTGTGTTTGTCTATAAACAGTCCATTTACTGTGTGTGAATTATATGGTAAAGTGTGGTGTATGTTTGGTTCTATATAAATACACGTGTATGTGTGTGTGTGCTCTTGTGTTGGTGGAACCGCAGGTGAGAGAAGTTCATCTGGTCTGTTGGAGTGGGAGTCGGTAAATGATGCAATGGAGGCTCTTGCTATGATGAACCACTACCAGATGAAGAACCCTAGTAAGTACTCACTCGCCTGGCGGCGGCACAATTTTGCACTGTTCTAAGTTTATGAGCTGTTTTGCTCTAACCATAAATCACATTGTTCCTTAAATCTTATCTTTCTCTTTTTCCTCAGGTGGGCCTTACCCATACACTTTTAAACTGTGTTTTTCAACTGCACAGCACGCCAACTGAACCCATTATAACAACCACTAACCTTTGTCTCCCAGTGACCTTTTGAGCTCTGCACCATAGCATGTCTTAACTCTTGACCTGGAGGGAAAGAAATGGGACCGTTAAGATTACCTTATTTCTAGAATAAGACTGGACTCAATGTTTTGTAGGTTTCATTTTTAAATTTTTTTTTATTGGTATTAATGTTTTTTTTTTTTTTCTCAGTTGACCGGTCTTGTATAACAGTAAATTTGTGTGACAATGTAATAAATTAGTGAAGACGTCACTGTGAAGAGTTTGTTTCTTGTGCATGTTGGCTTATATCAGTGGGATTGTTGTTGTGTGATTGAAGGAGACAGCCAAGCAACTAAACACAAAATCCAGGAGATCAACACGGTGATATGTGACCCTGGACCACAAAACCAGTCATAAGGGTCAATTTTTCGAAATTGAGATTTATACATCATCTGAGAAGTTGAATAAATAAGCTTTCCATTGATGTATGGTTTGTTAGGATATGACAATTTTTGGCCGAGATACAACTATTTGAACATCTGGAATCAG